GTCAGTACCATTATAATTTGCTAACTTCTTGCATTTTTGTCTTTAGTCTGTACTGTAGTCCGTCGCGAAGCACATTTACAATAGCTCAACAAGCATTAAAAAAATCATAATGATGAAGAAATTTCACTTAACCCTCTACCGTCGTAGTATGTTACTCTGCGGGAACATAACTGTTCATAACTTAAATTATATATAAACTATTGAATGTAGCAACTTGAGGACGTTTGTACGCTACAGAGAACATTTTTAAATTATCGTACCGCGTACGTGGCGGCAACCATCAGTGCAAGTCATTTTACGCTCACTAGAACGTATACTTTTTGGGAAGTATTGTGACAATGTTGCTCCGGTTACTCATGTCTGGCGGTAGAGGGTGGACACAAAAGTTTTGATGGGCATGTGTCTACTTGGAAAAATGTCCAAATCGGAATATTTAAGTAACAATCAAACAAGTTGCGATTCCCTCTGGTCTTTCCAATACCAGGCAAATGTAATTAACAAAATTACTAAGCGTAGATATGCACATGCATCCAAGCATCCATCGTTTTTCAGCATCCATCTTTTACTACGTTCATTCGATTGTGGTAACATTCACGCTTCGACTGAAAGTATTGCGGAATTATAGCAATTCCTGCAGTTTTTGCCTTGACTGTACAGCTCTTGACCATCGCCAGCTCTAACTGCCAGTCGTTCTAGTTCGTGCCAACAAGTTATTGATTGGTAATGAATGGTCAGTAATTAGGAACCAGACAAGCAGCGCCCGTCAACAGCGGATGACACTCCACACTTTCATTATGGGTTGGAATATTGGTCTTGTTATTATTGGATGACACTGAACACAGGGTCGTGTATAATTTTATATTGTGTTTGAATTTTGAATTTCGAATTCGTATCCTAATTTCCAAAAACAAATATCAGTAAGTGCGCCGAAACGTCTATGATGAAAACCAGTTATGAAATGTAGAACCACTAACTTATGAAACCACTAACCAGTACTATTCAGTATTTCCATTAACCTGTTATATTCTGCACAACCACTAACCCGTTCTATCCAGTATAAACAATAACGAGTGCAAGCCTACTTTTCTTTATTATATATCCACTGGCAACTAAGATATCAAGCAGCAAAGGTGTCCCAGACGTCAGGTTGTTTCCTCCACAAATCCTAGTATTATTTTTCAACTAATTAACAATAAGTGTCGCGCTGATATCAGCCTTGCCCTTTCTATTGTTCTAATTCTGTCAAACCTCGTCCAGTTCACGATAAGCAAAACTTGAGTATATTACAAGGCGTCGTAGATGCAGAATATGATTTATCACGTGGATGTCGTGTGCACGTCAAGTTGCTATGTAGATCCTCAAGTGCCAGTTGCGAAGGTAGATAACATTTATTTTATTGATAAGAATATCGCTTAATAATCTACACGACGTCAGCTACTCTACCACTGCAAAGTTCAGCGACCTTGCCAGTATTTTTCGCACATGAATCTTCCTATTGACATAAAATAACTCATTTTATTTTGCAATTAATATTTCTTGACAATTTTCCAGTCCATTTTTATTTGTTTTTTGTTTCTATTAATATTAAATATTTGAGCTGTTAAAATAAACTGCTAAATAGGAGTTAGGGATTCATGTTAAAAAGCATTACTGGAGCAATGACTATCACTGCGTGGCCGATGTTATCAATGATACTTCAGCACTCCGCACACGCATGAAGCATGTGAGAACTGACATGCCGCATACGCATGTGAACAAAAACAAAACATAATAATGTTAATTTTGCTTGTGATCTTGTAATTACAAAATTAAAGGGAATAATGGCATACCTGATCAGATCGGTTCCTTTTTGTAACCGGTAATTAATACTGATATTCTTTTGTCCACAACTCTGAATACAAACAGTACGTATTTCTATCAAATAAAACTTTATTCAGCATACAGTGTGGCGCTGCACGAGAATAATTTAATGCAGATTCTACGTCGTCTACGAATATATATGTACTTTTGATCAACAAGCGCAGCGACGTAGCGCTACTCTCGCTACCGAAAAAACTGACCTTGCATCCGGCCACTTACGTTCGCTCTACTGCAGTGCAATGCAAGGTTTCTGATACATATAATAGAATTATAAAACCAGCATTCCCTTACTTCTATATTTCTTTGATTACAAATGTAATACAGTTTACAAGTGTAATACATTTAGTGTATGCAAGGAATTTGATCCTAACGGTTTAATGTTGTGTTTTCAATAATGAATATCAGATCGTACGACAATAAAGGGTTATAGTGTAGACTCCCTAGATATGGTTCTCTGACTTTTTGTGGTCATTTATCAAAATTATTTCGAATAAAAATATTTTATAGACTCATAATCAATACGATAAACTAAAATCAATTAAAATTATTGGTTAATTTACTCGTCATCGACAAATGTTTCTCTCCAGAAATCGGCGGAACTCCTACGTCAGGCATCCCACAGAAGTCACATTGTTGAAGTGAAAAAGTTGAAATATTCCTTAAAATGAACGTTAATTTGTCAAATGTACGTTATTTATATGGCAAAAAAGTATTCTGTCTCTTTTATATTCTAAATTCATATCAATATATGCAATGCTGTCCAACAGCGCTTCATGAGATCGGGGGAGCGGCAGCCTCGCGCGAACCGAAGAAAACGGACAGCGTTACAGGGCAGACTCTGCCAGAACGCCGGTGATGTGGCAGAACGCTGGTGATGTAGCGAACGCTGGTGATGTGGCAAACGCTGGTGATGTGGCAGAACGCTGGTGATGTGGCAGAACGCGGGTGATGTGGCAAACGCTGGTGATGTGGTAGAAGGCTCTGTATCAACACATCACGCTCTGTATCAACACATCACGCTCTGTATCAACACATTACGCTCTGTATCAACACATCACGCTCTGTATCAACACATTACGCACTGTGTAGACACATTGGAAAATAACGATAAAAAACGCGATATTCAACGGCTCATCCACACTATGCTGATTTGATCTATACATTATATTATATAGTTTATAATTGTACTGCAGCCTCACTATGGTGCCATTTTATATACATACCTTTAATATTATTGGGAAATGACAGCCTGTTCGATTTATATTTTATTCTTTCAGTCTTCATAATACAGGATTGATTTTGAGTGACGCAAGTTATTCAGGCATACAAATTGCGGTTATTTACTTGTTTATTTATATTTATATATTATATATATAATATTATAAATTATATATATATATAATATATTATATATATATATTACAAATTATATATTTATACTTATTCATTTGTTCATTCAGAATCAGAGCGCATGTCGGTGGGTGAATTCATCCGCATGCATTATGTAACGCTCTACTCGAATTTCTTCTAATACATTGTGAATATAAAACATAGGTGCACACAAAGAGCTAATGACCAGATAATGCATCGTAACTTTAAAGGAGTCAAACAATTCTTTCCATGACTTTGGTAGATCAAAAGGCAGATTTGGCAAATAATAATAATAATATATTAACGACGTATAAGAAATTATGTTCCGTTTTAATTGAGCAGGACCTTGTAGAATAAGTATAGTTTTAAGTTGATTTCTAGATAGCTAGGAACCATTAGAGAAGGATTTCGGAGGCTAGAGCGGGTGGCGAATCTTAAAGTGTTCTAGATTGTATTATCTTATCAATCTCGGAATGCAATTTTCGTTTTCTCAATTACTTATTTACGTGAATTAATGCATGACATGGGCCCTTTGGCCTATAATGCATGCTAAGTCACCTCTTTGGTTAGGCCCAACAACTTAGAAGTCGTCTCTGGCGCGTTACTCTGGCAGTATGGCCGGCCTTCGAGCCTTAACTTTAACTATTAGTTGCCTTAGTGCACTTAACCTCCTTCTTACTTAGTCGGTTGGGCCAAGCATTTACTAACTTCTACCAATTGCACCATTTTACCACAAATATACCTCTAAACGGCTGTATTCAAGCCACTTCGAAATTCGCCAATGGCAATAATTTGAAGGTTGGTCTTCGCGAATAATTTAAATTGTGTCATGTGAAAATGCCGAGCTTTGACTCGTTAATATCATATTACTAAGGTTCTTGCTAGTATTTGAAACCCGATTTTACCGTTCATTCCGTTATATTACAGTATAACCCCCGGTATTCACCTCTCGTCTTGTACGTGTCATCTCGCTTCTTGTCTCCGGTGCTGCCAGTGCATACTACCTGTTCTGCGTTGTACTTTGTTTGATTTGAGGTTAGAAAGAGGATAGCGTTCACTGTCATATCTTGTGCCGTTGAAATTGGAATTGGTGAATATAGTGGTATTATAGTCATTTCTAGAGCTCCTACTTGCATTTAATTTGGATGTTTTGTCTCTAATTTCAGTGTCTTGAACTTCAGTCTCGACAGTTCAACTTCAGTCTCGACAGTTCAAGAGTGACTGCACTAGCTGGTGTCCAAGTTTTTTCGTTTCGAGTTCAATAAAAATTATTAGCCGTTATATTCGTATAAATTCCTTACAGACGTTTCGAATGTAGCAACATTATTTTTCAAGTTAAGAGAAGCGTGGAATAATTTCATTACTCAATGCTATAATATAATTTAAATATTCAATGCTTCTCTTAACTTGAAAATGAATGTTGCTACTACATTCGAAACGTCATTAATATATTATTATAATTTGCTAAATCTACCTTTTGATCTACCAACGTCATCTAAAGAATTGTTCGACTCCTTGAAAGTTATAATGCATTCTATGGTCATTAATTGTATGCATATAAACAAAAAAGTTATGCCGTCTTATAATAATACAGAGCTAAGAAGACATTCTAAAGACCCATTGGTCTTCAGTTCCCCAGCTGTGCAACAACAGACAGCGAGACGTATTATCACAAATTGATGTCCTTTAAAACGTCCTGGGATCGATGAGGATTATGAGTTGTTTTCGCACGTGTTCCGGAGCCAGAAAGCGACCCCAAATTAATATTTTTACCTGTTTATCCAACAGATTTGGGATCCACAGATGGACAAAGCCACTTGGTCCTCCTGATGGCCGGGATGAGGGAGAGGACTTGGTCCTGAGGGCCGGGATGAGGGAGGGGACTTGGTCCTGATGGCCGGGGTGAGGGAGAGGACTTGGTCCTGACGGCCGGGATGAAGGAGAGGACTTGGTCCTGACGGCTGGGATGAGGGAGAGGACTTGGTCCTGAGGGCCGGGATGAGGGAGAGGACTTGGTCCTGACAGCCGGGATGAGGGAGGGGACTTGGTCCTGACGGCCGGTGTGAGGGAGAGGACTTGGTCCTGACGGCCGGGGTGAGGGAGAGGATTTGGTTCTGACGGCCGGGATGAGGGAGGGGACTTGGTCCTGACGGCCGGGATGAAGGAGAGGACTTGGTCCTGACGGCCGGGGTGAGGGAGATGACTTGGTCCTGACGGCCGGGGTGAGGGAGAGGATTTGGTCCTGACGGCCGGGATGAGGGAGAGGACTTGGTCCTGAGGGCCGGGATGAGGGAGAGGACTTGGTCCTGACGGCCGGGATGAAGCAGAGGACTTGGTTTGATGGAACTGACGTACAAATATTCGAATGGTTCTAACATATATTGACAAATGATGTATTCTTGTTTAATTGTTGGAATTATTTTGCGATTATAATTGATTATTAATCTCATTAGCCAGCAATTCTCAATTAGCTAAGCAAGTTTGACGGTATTAGCGAAGAATTATAGTTTACGTGAGGAGTTTTCACTCGCACGTTTTGTACGTTTTTTTATTACCACTATTTTTTCGAAAAAATGCGCGATGTTCAGATGTGTATTTCCTAAAACAATTAGTACCTAAAAAGTCCATTCAAACAAACTATCCTTGATTATTATATTGAATGCGTGTACAAAACGCAGATCAGTGAACTTCTCGTGATGATTAAGTGATGTCAGTGATTAATGGTAAAGTGCTTTAATTTTTAAATTGTTTCTGAGTAACATTTTTGCCAAGGCAGCGAGTTCAAGTAAAAATAAAACTACGTTAATGTACAATTCGTAGCTCATTGATTGTTGAAATTATTTTCTTGCATATACGTATGTAACGGAATTATCAGACGACATCTTTTTGCTACAATAACTCACTATTAATAAAACATTAGAAAGTTGTATTTATTAGCCGAAAGTTACACACGCTCAGCCAACGTTTACGTGCATCAAGTTACGAGGGTAGCACGTGTAGTGTTACGCACGTAGACGCGTTACGCGTGCTGCTCAGATACGTGAGACGCGCTCGTCATCAATACATTAGCAGTAAGTGGATTAATGAAAACTTCGGTCACGTGAGCAGGGTGGGAAACTCGTGTAAACGAATGATGGAGTGTCAATACCTACGTCACATTCTTACTGCATTATTTGCTTCCCTATTTACTAGGTGGAAACTCGTATAAACGAATGATGGAGTGTCAATACCTACAGCACATTCTTACTGCATCATTTGCTTCCCTATTTATTAGGTGGCAAACCCGTGTAAACGAATGATGGAGTGTCAATACCTACTCTTCCCTATTTATTAGGTGGCAAACCCGTGTAAACGAATGATGAAGTGTCAATACCTACGTCACATTCTTACTGCATCATTTGCTTCCCTATTTATCAGGTGGGAAACTCGTGTAAACGAATGATGGAGTGTCAATTCCTACAGTACATTCTTACTGCATCATTCGTATAAAGTGAGAAATTCGTATAAACTAAATATTGGTGGTCAATACTTACACTACATTCCTGGTACATCCTCTTCTTCTCTAGTTGTTAGATGGAAACTCGTGTAAACTTACTATGTTATCATGGAGTGGCAATACCTACACTAAATTCCATTTATAGCCTAACCTTCTTTGTTATTATGTGTGAACACTTATAAATGAATAATAGAGTGTCAGTATGGAGTGTCAAAACCTACACTACATTCCATGGTAAATCGTTTCTTTCACTACAAGTATTAGGCGAGCTTTTCATGGAACTGAGTAACTTAAATTAAATGAGTAGCTTATATTATGACGGCGGTGACCATTCTTATTTGTCAAGTATACGCATAACCACGGTACATGACAGCGCTGGGGTCTTTCCCTTGAGCTAGCTCTAACATATGTGTTAGGGGTGAACACTGATAACAAATTTCTTGAATTCTTCGTCTAAAATGAGAGAAAAGCAAATGCTTTTTGACTATGTTTATTGATGTTTATTTTTGATAAATGATTTTTTAATGCTTCTAAATTATTAGACAACTTTTAGGCAATAAATGTGGCCTTGTATGCCTGGTCAACTTGTTAGAGTTGTCTTCTAATACTGGAGATTTGGAATTTTCCTGCTCTGAACCTAACCTCTCAGGGTTACCTAAAAGCAATATTCTGCATGATTTATTTCTACGAAACCGATGCGTTTACAGTATCTTATTATAATCGGCAGTATGAATTAATTTTTTAATTTGTCTTCTATTTATTTACCTCAAAGTCCACCAGTAGCTCGTCTTTACATGATCCATCAACTTCTGGAAGATGCAGTCTGCCGCCCCTTAGTATTTCCAATGCTACATAATTTCACGGAGCAACTGCGTTATTCTGAATATATTCACTCTTCGTGGTACCGTCGATCGCTTGTCAATCAAATTTAGCCACGGCCATCATACAAGAAAGTGAGCAACGTATTGCGTTGGCTACTTTCGCTAAATTACCCTTAATACATAAACTGGTCCAATTTGCACAAAATAAGACTAATAATATTATTAACGCACTGGAAAATGTACTATAATGACAGTTTGCTTTAAAAATTAACTCCGGCGAGTACAATTTCCCTTGATGGTATCGACAACATGCAATATCTTCCATCGTATTATTTGTGCAAGGTAATTATTTAATTTAATGCTACGCTGCTGATCGAGGTATCGCTTCATCGTACCACGGCTCAACATTTACTGCTCGACATCACAACTGCTGTCATAGTTCACAAATCCATCACAAATTTCAAAGTTCCAAGAGATATCATAAAACAATTCTGCTGATATAATAAACAGAGTATATTTACAACTTTTATAAAACTTATGACGAGGGAACTTGAACTGAACAATCGAAAAAGGCGTTACAACATTTATATACATGTATATGAGACAATTATTGAAATATTGAAATCTGAATCTCTTAACCTCGGAAGTATAATGGTGCTAGCCAGCTGGATAAAGGACGTGCATGTTGCACGAGTTTTTTCGATACAAAAATAATCCAATCTTGATATGTTTGTGGATTACAGATACTGTTACTTTATGACGCAGTACAGCTTGACAAGGAACCGCGCTCGAGATGTATAGCTATCCAAAAGACGATCTCCAGACTCTCAGAAAACAGCCACTACGATTGAACAATTGATGATTTTGTTTTCTTCATTCCACATAAAATTATTTTTTAAGGCATTTAATTATTAGCTTGAAATTTCGTCACAAATTTTCGAAGCCATACTTTATAGCCCGTGTGTTAAAGTTCACACTTGAGGTGTCCAATTTTATTAGATCACATTGAGATTGAAAACTTCAAAATATTTTACGATGCTTTTTCTCTTCCTTTTCTCCATATAATTGTTTCTAATGCCCGTTCATGAATTATCAAAGTCATTCATTGTAATCGCTGCGAGGGTCACACGGTGCGAGGCTCTCACAGGCCACCCGATCTCCTCTTTGCATATGCAAAAAGAAGTGTCAATTTTTTGTCAGAGTTCGGCGTGACAAAACCATTCGAGAGCTGTCGCCGCCACATTCCTGCGAGGCTGGGGGGATTAGCTTACAAGTTAGCCTCATGAAACGCTTATTACCGTGAAGGTCAATTATGCGATCATGTCAAGTGTTGGCATCTTCGAAGACGCTTTTTAATATGCGTTTATTCAACGAATATATTTTAAAAAATGCACGATCATTTTGCGCGAATGATTTATTTTCGATGTGCACCCTTGGTGAAATTTTGTGTGAAGTTCATATTTACATTAGAGCTAATAATAAAATAGTTAAAAAGAGAACCTGCCATGAAAAAAACTTCTGGATTGAAATTTTTAAAGTGTGAATTATAACCTTGGTTTACACTATAATGATTAGCATCTAAGAACTTTTTATGTAACATTATATAACTCGTGATAGAATTTTTTTCATGTGTATTTCTTTAGCTTACTGAGATAATTATTCAATTCAATTTATTGATTATTTGGTTAAATGTCTGTGCATGTATTTTAACTTCTGACAATTGTTACATATTGTTTTGCTTAAGCCATTAATGAAAATGTAAATATCTTCTTTGGTTTTACTGGCCACAAATTTTAGATTTAATGCAACACATTGCCATTTCAACAACTAACTCTCATGCCATGTTTTTTTTCGCGTCGACTAGGAAATATCTTCAGTGGTACTCACCGGCCGAGAAGCCCCTGATATCAACAGCTACGTGGAACTCACTTCTGTATTTTTTTTAACTCCTTGTATATTTAATTTAAGCTAACGGCTAATTTTACTAGTTTTTTCATCACTGATCACTTGGTATGCAGGCCTAATTCAGCAGGCATATTCCTTAGATCTTTTTCACGGTTAATCCTGTGAACCTGTGGGCATGTGTGAATCGAGGTCGACGTTTGGTGTATGTGTTACCCCGTCACCTGTTCTCTTCGCCTTGTAGTAACTTGATCATTTCGCCTGCTGCTGCCTTGACCACCTCGCCTGCTGCTGCCTTGACCACCTCGCCTGCTGCTGCCTTGACCACCTTGCCTGCTGCTGCCTTGACCACCTCGCCTGCTGCTGCCTTGACCACCTCACCTGCTTATACTCTGATCACTTCGTCTGCTGATATTTTTCCACACCTCGCCTGCCGATGGCTCGCCTGCCGCTGGCCCGGCCAGTCAATTACGGGCCCGTGACGCCAATGTTGCGGCGCATCAGCTGCCGCCGCCGCCCGTCAATCACGGCGCGCCACCACGCGACCGTGCGTACGTCGGACGTCAGCCTGACGCCGCTACGTCGCGATGATGGCTGATACCGAATTCAAATTACGTCTCAAGCACGCAAATGCTCCAGGACTGTGCATTTGAAGGCTCTAAAGTTACGTTGCTGAAGGCTCTGTAGCTGTGCATTTAAACTGAAGGTAACAATAGCATAGTATCTTCGGCGTAGAAGAATAGGCCTGGATAGGCCTGTGTACATATGTAGAGGCTCTGAAGATGCGTATTTAAAAGCAAAAATAAAGCGAACTTGTAGGCTATGTGTCGGTGTATTTGAAGGCCCTGTAACTGCCTGCACATTTGAATATTTGCAGTGTATTTAAAATCCCTGTACTGCATATTAATATAATTGGTATATGCGTGTTTTTAATCTAAGGGACGGTGTACTGGAATGCCACGTCATTGTACGTTAGCTCGCATCGTGTGAAGCCTTGTGCACATAAATTGCTCCTTTGCGGTTGATCTATATTTAATGATGTTGTACTGAGCTTAATTCCTAATTAAATTTAAGTCTGTAGCCCATACAAGCTCTTGCGTTGTTTATTTGTGGTGGGGCGCTTGATGCTCAGTATCCATGTGTTGACTTCTGTAATTGG